TTTGAAGGAGGAGTCTAGAATTCTAGATCTTCAGGAGAAGAACCTGGGCACCTGCACTTTTGAGTCTAAAGGAGAAAAGATGGGCGCTTGTTCTCAGTCCCTAGACTTCTACGTCCTTGAGCAAGGTATCTGAAGACCAACACCCAGGCAAGTGACCAGTGCCCTCTGGCATGCAGGAATCCCCCCACCTCTGTCTGTGAGCCCTTTAGGCCTGCAGACCCTCACTCCTGGGTCTGCTGCCTTCAGACGCTGAAAACCAGGCGGCATGGGTCAGTGGGGTTGGGGTGATTCACGAACCTGCCCGTAAGTCCCTCTGTGGTTGCTGACGACCTCCGTGTCCCCACTGTAGACAGCAAGCCAGTGGGAAAGCGTGTGTCACCAAGCTGGCTCCCGCCCCTGCCCTGGGCTGGGGCGCAGGCCCAGCGCTATGGGGAAAGGGGCCTCAGACAATTGGGCTTTGTCCGCCCCCAGGACCCAGTGCCATGCTCCCAGCAGCTCCGTTTCTCAACCTCTCTTCCGGGCAGGCAGGCGGCTGTGTCAATAGCTTCCCTTTGTCCCTGTCTGACAGTCCTGTTGCTGTCCTTTCATTGTCCACCCACTTCTGCCGGATACCAGGACATTTGACCCTCCTGGTCCCCCTGCTCCAAGCCTGCCCACCTGTGAGGTCTCACTGTCCACCTCTCTCCCTGGCCATGGTGGAGCTGTCTCCACGTCTCCTCCCACCACCCCTCATGTTTTCCTGTGTTCATCTCAGGCTCTACTTGTGTCTCTGTCCCTCTTTCCCCATCTTTTTCTCTGTATCTCTCTCTGCTTTTCTCCCAGTTCTCTGAGTCTCTTGACATTCTCTACATCTTGGTTTGCTTATCCTCCCCTGGCTTCCCCTGCATTTCCGGCAGAAGCCTGTGCCTCTGCTCAGAAGCAAGTTAGTTCCCTAGGGAGCCAGAGGGCTGATATGAGGAGCAGTGGGGAAGCCAGTGGGACACAGGAGGGTTTCCAATGAGATCCAACACCTAAGGAGAGACTTGGAAGTAAGCAGGAATACAAGAACACTTGAGAGTGATGTGGGAGTGTGAGATGGGGGCCCCAGCAGCTGTGGAGGGACCCAGGAGGATTTGAGGAGGTGCCTGTGAAGTTGGACCTTGAAAGCTGTGCCCAGTGTTGGGCGTTGGTCAGGAGAAGTGGGGCAAGAAAGCCTGGCATGTGGCAGCCGCGGGGAGGGAGAGGAGGATGGATGTGATGAGCATGGAGCATGAGGAGGAAAATGTGAGGAAGTCACTGAAGATAAGGACAACTGATATCAGTAATGTCCATCTCAGCACCAGCTCGGGCCTGGCACTGGGGGATGAAAATCAATGTTTGGCATTCGACATACTCTCTGGTTGTTCCTCTGTCCCCAACTTCCCCCAGGCCCTTCATACCCACATTCCCATTGAACTGGGCATCTTCTCAGAACCCACCATCCTCCTGGACACCTAGCTGGATCCCTTACAGCCTGGCCCACCCCTTCCTCTCCATCGCCATGACCCTAGCACCAGCCCAGACCTGCTCCTCTCCCACCTGCACCATCACCTTGGGCTCTTCCCCTTTCTCTGTATCCTTCACTTGACCCCAGAGGGCCCTTCCTGCACCCAGAGCTGACCGTGCCCCTCTTCTGCTCATAACACTGCCCTGGCTCCCCCACCACCCCTGGGACAAAGTCCCATCCCCTCAGCTGGCTGTTAGAAGACCTTCAGCATCCACAACGTAGAAATATATTGCCAAATACAAATGCACTTTTAAATTTTCTAGTAGCCACTTTTTAAATAGTAAAAGGATGGGATGCCTGGGTGGCTCAGTTGGTTAAGCATCTAACTCTTGATCTCACGACTCTTGATCTCAGGGTCGTGAGTCCAAACCCCATGTTGAGCTCCATGCTGAGCATGGAGCCTACTTAAAACATAATAAGAAGAAAATAGTAAAAACAGAGACAGAAGTTCATCTTAGTATTTCATCCAGTCCAATACATCCAAAATTGCAATGTGAAATCAAAATAAGAACATATTAAAGATAGTTTGTCTTCTTATTTTGTGTGCAGTAAATGTTTGGAATCTGATATGCCTTCCCCTCACAGCACGTGTCAGTTGGAACTTGCCACATTCCACAAGTTAGGAGCCACCAAGGTGAGCCGCTGCCGCAGTGCACAGCCCAGCTCTGCCCACGGGTCTCGTGTTCCAGCTGGGAAGATTGCTTTCTCACCTCTGGGCCTCATCCATGCTATTCCCCCTCTCCAAATGCACTTCTCACCTTCTCCTGACCACAACTTGTCCTTCAAGTCTTTACTTAGACATCATCTCCTTCTGGAAACCTTCCCTTGAACACCACCCAACTCTCATCCCCTGCAGTTGGGTTAGTCACTCTCTCACCCAAGTTCCCACAGCAGGTGCAACCCTCAAGTCACCCTGGACTGTGAGTGGATTCATATCTATCTCTCCCACTGGGTGGTGAGCTCCTTGAGGACAGGCACTGAAGCTGACTCACCCCGCTGTGTCCCAGGTGACCTCACAGGACCTGGCCCAGAGGAAGCCTTAGGAAATGTTGGCCAAATGACTAAAATGTCTTCATTACACCCACTCCCATTTTACAAAAAAAGAACACTGAGATTCAGAGAAGGAAGTTAATTGCTCAATGTCCAACACCCAGGAAATGGTGGGATCTTTTGGATTGGAACTCAACTTCCAACGTGGAGATGGACATGACCCATCTTTTGGCACTGCAGCTGGGTGTCCCTTAGCACAATAGGGGGTGGGAGGGTTTGGGAGGAGTTGTTGAGAGCCTCAAGTGGGAGAGTGGGAAAGGAGGGAGGTGACAGATGGCAAAGAACTCCACCTCTAAGAACCTCTTAAGAGAGAATAAAGTGCCCAACTGCAGGCTTTTGTCAGTGACCTTTAGGGTTTTTCTCCTGCCATGTACCACACATTATTATTTATAGGGATTTTCCCCCAAACTGACATACTCCACAAAATACTTCAATAAAGAAAATGTGTTATAAGAAAATTTTATGAGAGTGTAAGTAGGAAATAGTGCTGGAAATTACAGACAATAAGAACCAATACTCACTGAAAGCTTATTCTATGTCAGGGAATGTTCTAGCACTTTCTGAATATTAAATTTATTTAACCTTCATAACAGACCTGAGAAATAGGTGTTACTTCTCTCACTTCAAGGACGAAGGAAGGGGAATGGAGAAGTAATGTGCAAGTAGCTGATAGGTACTGGAGTCAGTGTCTTTGACTACTATGTTGTACTGTCTTCCCAAAAAGAAAGGAAGTTATTTTTAAAAATCCAACAGAAATGCTATCCCAAGTCATTGCAAACCAACCCACCTCCAGACTTGTATGCAGTAGCAGCCAAAAGGAAGGGCCAGGTGTCTCCAGGCTGATTTAGTACAATTGCATTGTACTAAAAGTAATTTGATTACTTTTTCAAACTTTAGATGAATATTGATTTGAGGTTGTTTGCTGGGGGAAGGGGAAGTTGATGGATCTTCACGGGGACGGGTGGCTAAAAACCCTTGACATTCCTTGACACTGATCTAGAGGCAAGAAGAGTCAAGGGTCTGGACACCTGAGTCTGATGGAGGAGGTGCTGGAGGCAGGAACGTTAGGTATGAGGGAGGAGGGGCTAGAGGTGCAGATTCCTATGTTTTGTGCCAGGAAGGGGCTTAGCCTCCTGTGTGCAGGGAGTTCGTGGCTGCAGGATTTCTGCAATATGTGAAGGGATGGAGGAGTGGAGGGCCAGGAGAGACTTCTTAGGGAGATGAGATGAGGAGAGGAAGGATCTGGAGGACACTGGCTGAGAATTCTGAGGGAGAAACTGGAAAGACAGGCAGGAGGGTGAGCCCTGGGCTGGAGAGGATCCCTCTGTCAGCAGCGTCTGAGGTGTGACCGCCCAGGGAGCCTTTGATGGCAGGAAGCCAAGGACGTGGCCAGGCTCTGAGTCACAGGGGACTCCTCCTTCCTCCCTTCCAGAAGTCCCCTTCCCTGCCTTGAGAATAGGAGCCCACCGACCCAGATTTCCACCCCCATCTTCCCCTGGCACCCAGGATGCTGTTTTCTCACTCTGGGTGGGCTCCTGTGGGACCCTGGTGTCCCATCCACCTGCCAGTCCTATCCTTCCTGAAAATATCCCTCTCTCCTAGTTTGCCACTTGTGAAAATCTCAGGAACACTTTCGTACCCCTTTCCACCCCAATGAAACAGACTTATTTTCTCCTCCCTCCACCCTTCCTTCTTCCCTTTCGACCTGCTCTTCCTCTCTCCAACCCATTTTACAGATGAAGAAAACTAAAATCTGGGAAATGGATAGAAACAGGTCACTAGGCAGGAGATTCCTCCTCCCCATCTTTAGATCTTCAGAGATTTTCCACTTTTGTTTTCAAGTTACAAAAGTGAACATCTACAGAAACACAAGTGAAAGGAAGGAGGCACCCCCAACTACCACCAAGTGCAATTCATATGTGTTAGTATTTCAGATTTTATTCTGTAAACATTTCATTTTACACAGCTAGAGTCACACACACGTTTGTATCTTTCTTTCTTCATGTTCCATGATATAACAAACATTCTTGCATAACACTAACAATTCTGCAAAGTTATTATCTTTAACAGCTTCCTAATATCCCTGTCCCAAACAGGCTTATTGTTTACATAAACAATCCACTAATCTGGGACATGTTCCATGTTGCCACTGTTTTGCTATGATAAATAATGTGATGAATTCAAACCTTTCTCTACACTTTGGATTTTTTTTCTCTTTTTTTGAGTAGTATCTTCCTCAACTAGAGTCACAGGATCAACAAGGGTCTCAATCCACCTTGCCAAACGGCCTTCCACAAAAATGGCATGATTTACAGTTCCATCAGCTGAGAGTGCTGGTTTCACTGAATCTCTACCAGCACTGAGGTTTTTGTGTTTCATGCTGGTTTTAGGTCTTTGCTAACTTGATTGGTTTACACATGTGGCGTATTGCTGAGGCGTAAATTTGTCTTTGAGGAAAGGCAAGGTCAAATAAGACTACAGTTCATCACGTCCTTATTTCTGTGAATTTCTTATTGAGGGTGTATGGATGGAGAGGTGGGAAGCATGCAGAGATCAGCAATGTTTTCTCATGGTCTCATTTATCCATTTGACATACTTGCAGACTTGGGTATAGACCCCTGGGTCATTGGGTTGGCCACAAGGGAAAGTTCCCCAGGACACCAGGCCTTGCAGGGTACCTTTGCACATCAGTGGTCCCCCTGAGTCACCCTGGAGAAAAAAGAGCAAATTAGTTTCGGTTTCAGAGCAAGCACCACTGACAGACCTGTCTACCGTCTGCAGTTATCATGTCTTTGTCGGCCAGACCATGGACTTCCATCCTGGAGAAGGGGAGAGACTCATGGTCTCTGGGGGCCAATGGGAGAACAGGAGTTAGTGTTGTCATGGAGAGAACAAAACCGGCTCTCTGAAGACTTGGGCTTGAGCCCGGGTCAATGGGACCAATCACTGGGAAGGAGGTGGAGCTTCCAGGGGGTCAGAGCCCCATTTACTTTTCACCTTTAAGCACTTGGCGCCAAGCCAGAGAAGGAGTGTTATTTCCAGAGACTGGGTACATGACCCTTGCACATGAAAGGGGGGGACAGACCGGCCCTGGAAAGCAGGGCAGGACAGGTGATATAATTCAAAAACCACAATGCAAAATGAATATGCGGCCACTGTGTTCAAAAATTATTAAGAGATTCAAGACAGCAACAGAAGTGCGCTAACTCCTTTGTGTGGGACAACCCGAGTGTGAAGTCCTGTGCCACTGCGCAGCTTGCATATTCATGAAGCTGGCCCTCACCAGGGAAAAAGGGGACCCCCACCGCCCATTCTCTAGAACGGACATCCCTGTCCCATTCCGCCCCAATCTCTCACACACACCATCCCACCTCCCCTGAAAGCTGCAGGTGTACATGTGAGCAAAGAGAGTGGGATACTGAAGAAGGGTGGAGAGGAGAAGGCAGAAGGAAGAGGGCGACAGAGAAGCAGAAATTTAGGGGGCGAAGAAGGAGCAGAGTTGGACAAAGGTGGAGACCGGGGCAGAGAGAGAGAGAGAGAGAGATCGATCCCACACAAAGAGAGGAAGACAATGTCATTCAGAAACAGAGAGGGGGTTAAAAAGATGAGGAAAGGGGGAACAAAGAGAAGGGGGAGAGATAGTTCCTTCCCTAAAACCAGGACTGGGATGAGGTGGAGGAGGCATTAGCTCCAGGCACAAAGATTCAATAATTGCAGTAAATAATATGTTAATGCAATGATTGAGAAAACTCGCATTTAGTATGAGAAAGTCCATGATGAGCACGGTATCTCAACTTTAGATAAAGACAGCGTCAGGCCAGTGCTGTGCTGCACCATTACTGTAGCCTGAGGTAAATGAACAATTCAGTAAGACTGATGGCTCTTCATCGAAAATTCTGGCATTTTGTTCATCATGGACTTTTAACATGGATTTAATTTTTTTTAAATGTTGCATTAGTAGAATGTGATTTATCTTGGACCTACTTGAAGTTTGGGCTTGAAGCCCGTACCTCACTCACCTTCTGCCTGTCCCAACCCCATCTTTTCTGCCACCATTCTGCCCCATTCCCAGGGTCATGCTAGCCTCCTGGGCTCCCACTACTGCCCCAGAAAGAGAGCAGGGTAGAAAGAGTTAGGAAAACTGGCCTTGGGATGCAGTGGGGGTACAAAAAAATTGCTCAGCCCCAAGGTCAGGGGCCCAGATTGTGGATGGAGGGAAAGGCAGGGGATCTGGGGCTAGGGATGGGTGGAGTCTCACGTTGCAGGTGTTGGTCTTGGAGTTGGGGATGCCAGCACACAGCATGGATTTTCCCAGTAGGTCCTTGTAAACCTTCTTGCAATCCTGGGCGGAGATGAGCTTGACATCCGTGCACATGAGCTTTGATGGAAAGGTCACTGGTGGGGGGAGGGGAGGTCAGTCAGAGGCCTGGGCCAGCAGCCCCTTGAGTGCTGATGGACAGAGGAAGAGCCTTAGACCCCGAAGTGAGAGGGGACTGGAGGCTCAACACTCAAGTCATGATATGGGGTCTGACTCCTGGTCTCCAGGGTCTGAGGGGGGGAGCTGGAAGCCAGGGTCCTAGAGGCAGCCTCACCATCAGGGCTGGTGGTGGTGCCCCAGCCAGAAACAGTGCATGTGGTCCCAGGGGGTTCACAGCGAGAGGGCAGGTTGACTTTCCTCACATTCAATGATAGCCTGGCTCGTCTATTTAGCTTCACAAGCATGAGGTCATTAACATGAGTCTGAGTGGAGTAGCCGGGATGGCGGAATGACTTTGTGGCACGGATCTTCTGGGCTCTATTGTCACCCAGCTGATCACTGCCTATGTGCACGTTGTATTCACTGGAAGAACAAAGTAACATTTAGAGAGAAACACTATGATTGGGAGAAGGAACGGGGACCTCGAGGGAGGGGGACAGAGACCCGGAGAGAGGGCTGTAGTGTCCCTGCCACATACCTCATCAGGCAGTGGGCAGCAGTGAGCACCCACTGTTCATTGACCAGCACACCTCCACAGTGGAGCTGATTGCCCTTGAGCAGGGCCACCTGCCAGGGGTGAGAGCCTCTTGTACATGGGACTCCATCAATAATCTTCTCCCCACTCTTGTCACCTTGGGTTGGATAGAGATAAGGAAGAAAACATGGGTAGCAAGCATCAAGGGGGCTGAAGAAGCAGCCAATGGATTTGGAGAGTAAGATGGAAAGAGACAGAGAGGCATGAGAAATGCAGAGGCAGAAGCGAGGAACAGTGCAGAGAAAGCGGGACATGGAGATGGAGAGAGAGAGAGGAAGCCTGGTCATAAACCCAGGAGGAATATCGTGCCTGGAGGCAACTCCAGAAGCTGATAGGAATGACAATGAGTGCAGGAGATGGTCAGGAGGGAGACCCCGGGAGTCAGAAGGAAGCAGGAAGAAAGGGGGCAGCAAGTAGAAGAGTCTAGCCTTCCCTGGGAGGAAGCTGCTGCAGGAGGAGGGTCCTGACCCAGAAGTCCTTGGAGGACACTGGCAAGGGTCAGTGTGGACAATGGGAGGCCCCAGGGGTGAAGTCAGACCTCCCAGTCCAGCCCTCACCTTCTTGGCCCGCAGATCGCAGGACTAAGGTCAGTAGCAGGAATTGCAGGGACAAGAGAAGCGATCCTGCCATGGTGACCTCTCTGAGCCTCTCCTGGGGCTGCCAGGCAGAGCAAGGGTCTCTCCTGCGTGGGCTGGTAAGGACAAAGAGTTCAGGAAGCAGGAGTCCAAGCCCCCATCCCTCCTCCATCAGACCCAAGGGTCTGGGCCCCAGCCCCTCCTACAGCAGACCTAGAAGTCCAAATCCTCAGTTCCTCCCCCACTTAGACCCAGGAGGCCAGGCCTCCAGACCTCCTTTCCCCTTGGGACTCAGAAATGTGGGTTCCCATCCCTCCTCATCCGCAAGTCTAGATCCTCAGTTCCTTTCTCCCTAACAGACCTCAAATTCCAGACCTCCAGTCCCTCATCTCTCACAACCAGGATTCCAACCCCCCTCTCCTTTCAGAAGCAGGAGCCAGCTTCATCCCCCACCGAAGAAGGCCCCTTCTCACCTCCGGAGGGTCTGATGTGATCTCGGCTCCACTCTCAATTGGGAGCCAAGCGTGCCCAGCCCTGTGGAGGGCAGCCCTCTTATACAACCCCCGCCCCCACGCCCGCCCCCAGCGCCCTCGGGTGCGGGAGGAGCCGGCTCTGAGACGCCCCCAACCTGCACTCGCAGTTATCTCGAAGCCCTGAGGCAGCGAAAGCAATTGGCCGCACTCAATTCTTTCTCCACCCTTCTTCTCTAGGCCAAGGTCGGGCGGTACCCAGCTAGTTCGCTCCGCCCATTCTGGCCCTAAGTCTGGTGGCTGCTGCAGGTGAGACCAGGTGTTGGCTCCTAGGGGGGCCGTGGCAGCAGGAGTCAAGGAACTGCAGAGCTCAGGGAATGGCCTCCTCTGGGGTCATTTTCTTGTCCTCATTCCCTCTCAGAGGTGGCCTACACCCTATACCCTCATTCAGACCGGCCTGTGGGAATTTGTACAGGCTGGATCCTCATGGTGTCTTTGAGCCTGAACCCACTCCCAGCCCTAATATAGGGATATGAATTAAAAAGAGAGTGCTTTCCCTAATCCCACTGTACTAAACGCTCACTATTATCAGTTTAGTCTGTGTTCTCATATTGTATGCAGATTTCTACCGTATTATGTTTATAACAAAGAACTCTCTACTTAAGCATTATGTAACAGAACTTTTTTCTCTGTAAAAATACCTTTGACAGTTTTTCCTCCTAGTATATTTAGAAAATTTCCCCTTCCTTCCCAAGGATTACATAGTATTCCATTCTATGGTTGAACCATGCTTTGCGTACTGTGTTTCAAACTGGTGTATTTTGGATAGTTTTCATTATAATAAAGCTGGAATGAACGTCTTTGTACATTCCTCTTTGCTCCTCTGCTTTTTTCAAGTATTCACTGAGCATTTACTCTGCCAGAAACTGTTTTACTCCTGGGGACACAGCAAACAGTCAATAAAGCAGACAAAAATTCCTTCACAGATGCTCTCCTATGGGGTGGAGGCCATGAAATACAAAAATAAGTACATAAAATATATTGTTTGTTAGGTGGTGGGAAGTGCCGTGGAGAAAAATAAAAGTGGGAATAGAGATAGGGAGTTATTGGGTCCTTCCATTCTCAGAGATCCCTGGGGTTATAATATTTGGAATGATGACTGGAAGGACTCCACGTGAAGGTAACATTTGAGCAAAATCTTGAAGGAGGTGGTAAATGGATCCATGTAATTACTTCTGGGTTGTGAGTTCCAGGCAGAGCAAACGGCAGGTAAATTAGGCAAGGGGTGTGACTAGAATGTTCTAACAGGGAAGAAATTTGAGTGGAGCTGAATGAGCAAAGGAAACAAAGGCGGGCCATGAGATCAGAGACATAACAGGACTCATAGAACAAAGAGTCTTGAAGATCAGTGTAGGACTTTAGCTTTTAATAAGATGGGACATTGTGTGATTGTTATTTGGAGGCAAATTCCTAAAAGTGGAATTGACCCCCACTTCAAATCAGATCTCCAAAATGTAATTGGTTCCTCAGCTATCAGCCCAAATCTTATCTCAAGGCTGACCCAAACCCAGTTCTACCTTTGTTCCATAATCTGACTCATAATAGGCATTATTGTTGCTTGCCCAGGCATTCACTCCTTCTGCCTTTCTATGAACACCCTGGTTTTGTTTGGATGATCTTTTGTCCTTATCATGATGATAAGTTTTATTGCACCAAACAGGAAATCCATATTCTTCTTGCCAGTGACTGGTTTAGAAATGGACAAGAGGGACAATAAGGAGTGAGAGGAAGATCACTGGGGCACTTCTGGGAAAGACTGTCTTGTTTTCAAAAGAGACACCTGAAGAATTCTCTTTTCTTCTGTCAGATGATATCCCCGATGTAAATTATGGAGCTGTGAGAACCTTCCAGGAACCATGGAGCAAAGGGGCTGGCAGACCTAGCCAAAACAGTGAAGGTGGCCAGAGTCATGGAGGTATTGGGGTTTTGGTGAGGTCTCTGAGCTAGTGAATTAACCAACTATAGGTGCCTATTCATCTCGAGACTTCTTTGGGTTTCCTATCTGATTCAGAGTATTTGGTTCCTAGAGCCAAAATCTTCCTTACTAAGACCTCAATAATTAAATTCAAATCTGATCCTAAACCATGAATCCAAACCAATTCTAACTTGAATCTGTATCTTGAAACCACAGTAATCAACAAACCACTCCTGGCTCCAATCCAACTAGAGAACTACTCTCCCCAGACTCCCTCCCACACCGTCTTTCAGATCCAATCCTTTATATACTTAAGAAATACATATTGAGCACCAGCTATATGCCAGGCTGGGCTAGATGCTGAGGATACAATGGTACACAAACCCGGACAGAATCCCTTCTCTCAGGGCGCTGACAGTGCAGGGCAAAGATGGGTAAATAATTCATAAGCAAATGTAAAATTACAATATAATGTGTGCTGTAAAGATAGGCACAGGGTATTATGAAAGTACTTCCTGGAGAGTTGGACCCAGGAGTTGACAATAGGATAAGAGTTGAAAGAGCAGTAAACAGGGGCGCCTGGGTGGCTCAGTGGCTCAGTGGGTTGAGGCCTCTGCCTTCGGCTCAGGCTCAGGTCATTATCTCAGGGTCCTGGGATTGAGCCCCGCATCGGGCTCTCTGCTCAGCAGGGAGCCTGCTTCTCCTTCTCTCTCTGCCTGCCTCTCTGCCTACTTGTGATCTCTGCCTGGCAAATGAATAAATAAAATCTTAAAAAAAAAAAAAGAAAGAGCAGTAAACATTAACTAGAATAAAATGGGAGGGGACTGGAGAGTATATCTTTTAGAGGAAATAGCATGTACAAAAGTCCTGAAATGGGGCTTATGGATAGAGCTCAGGGACTGAGGATTGACTAGAACCAGACAATGAAGAACTATGTCATGGTGAGTTTGACTTTATCCTGTGGATGATGGTGAACCACTTGGACTCTAGTCAGAAGAGTGACATAACAAGATTTGTATCTGCAAAATGTCATTCTACATGCTATATGAAGGGTAGATTTTAAGGGGTTGTGGACCCATAAGGAGACCATCACTAGGTCACTTAGATAAGGCCATTTAGGATGTGGAGATAGCAGTAAGTGGATGGATTCAGTATGTGCTTAGGAAAGAGAATCAACAGGCCTTGGGGATGGATTAAATGTAGGATGTGGTGAGGGAGTCAGATGTTAAAAGACTTCAAGGTCTTTGGAGATGGTGGTGCCATTCATTGAGAAGACCTGTTCAGATATGATCAAGTGCTTGTGAGGGGGTGAGAAAGACCTCAGTCTCTGGCTTCAAGCATAATTCTAACTCTAGTCCTTACTGTGACACAGTTCTCAACACCAATCTGGACACAAGCCCAAGTCTTAACCTGAAACCTCAATTCATACCCAAACCTAACCCTTTTTTTTAAAGGTTTTATTTTTAAAATTTTTTTAAAGATTTTATTTATTTATTTTACAGAAAGAGAGAGAGAGAGAGAGATCACAAGTAGGCAGAGAGGCAGGCAGAGAGAGAGGGGGAAGCAGGCTCCTCGCTGAGCAAAGAGCCCGATGCGGGGCTCGATCCCAGGACCCTGAGATCGTGACCCGAGCTGAAGACAGAGGCTTAACCCACTGAGCCACCCAGGTGCCCCCCAAACCTAACTCTCAACTCTGCTTTATCCTTGCCCAAGTCTAATTTATACTTCAACTTGGAACCTGTTTCTTGACTAAGTCTTTGACTCCAAATGTCAGCTCGAGCTATAACTCACACCTCAACCAACCTTAAACCTTGACCCAAACCCTGAATCCCTAAATATGAATCAAACTCATTCTTGACCCAAAAGTGAATGTCACCATAGCCTCAGTTCCAAACTTGACCTATGCACAACTCAAACCATAGTGTCCATCACAAACTATAATAATATTCCAGGAAGCCCACACTGACATCCTCCCTATGAGCTCTCCACAACTCACCCCAATTCTACATTCTGACTCCAGTTCCAGCTCTATCTCATCTCCAACCCAATTTCTACCTGAAATTTCATATTCACTTCTATGTCCTACTCTTTCCCCATCCCATCTTCATTTTCCCAACTCCACACACCACCTTGACCCTTTACTTCACACAAACTCTAAAATAAATTCTACCAAATGACACCATACTAACATTGACCGCATACTGACTAAATTCAAGCTAAGTCTCCAAAATTTCTGAGAAACTTACTCTCATCAAATCCAAAATGAGATCCCAGAACTCAGACTCCTGACCGCACCAATTCCACAGGAAGACCCTGGCCTTGAGGGGTGTCAATCTTCCTGACTTGGGCTCCCAAATAAAGTAGAGGTAGACCCCAGTTCACCTGACTTCATAGCCCCACAAGTCAGTAATCTGTATCTTTCCCTCTCAGCTTCCTAAAGAGAGGAATTTTAGCAAGACTTCCAGTTTGTTATCTTCTGCCTGAATCGCTATCCCTGGATTCCCTCTTCAGCCCCCTGCCTCATCAACCTTCTATCAGAAAGAGGAAGGGAGCTACACTCCTCGGGAGCCTGGTTGTTCATTCTAACAAACCCAGAACTTCTCCTCTGCTGTGTTCTGCATATCTATCTCTCTGTGTTCTTAATTGTTTAATCTGATTTTGTTGC